TATGAACATCTCAAGCCATTCAGAGGTGCGTGGTCAAACAAATTTTGGCACCCAGCCAGGCAAGGAGATATCAGGGTAGTGGTCTGTTTCAGCGAGCATTGCAAAACAGGAAACAGAAGAGGTATTTGGACAGAGTTCTACAATCAACCTCTCCAGTGTTGTAGAAATCGAGGGATATTTTTCTGCATTTTCTCAGCGTCAACACTCTTAAAATGAACCACTGCACCCATACCGATCTGTACCCAAAGTTTATTCTCAGTGTCTGCCCGGTACAGATTTGTGGCCATTCCTTACCCAACTGACCACATACCTGAGCCACCTATTCCTCCCCCTCCAGGACGTGGCCTGGGTTCCCATGCAGAGCACCCCTGTTCCATCAGCACGCCTCCTACATTGATTCTAGGGGTAAAGGTTGAGTTTGAAGAACGAATCTGGATCAAGCAGTTCAGAGGCAAATCTCAAGGACTCCCAGCCCAAGAGATTGACAACTCCCTTTCCAAACATTCACCCAAGAGTTATCCCCAACTTCTGATAATGAATATCTCCCAGATATAATAATTTAGAAGAATTGGAGGGGTGGTGGTATCTCATAGTAACATGTAAAATCCTGATGGGACTGGACAGGCTAGATACAGGAAGAATGTTCCCAATGTTGGGGAAGTCCAACTAGAGTCAGGGAGGGTCCCAGGACTGGGGGGGGGGGGGGGGAGAAAAAAAAAATCGCTAACATGACACCCCTGTTTAAAAAGGGAATAAGGCAAAAGATGGAAAATTACAGGCCGATTAGACTAACCTTGGTTGTGGGTAAGATTTTGGAGTGCATTATAAAGCACGAGATTTCTGAATATTTGGAAGTGTATGGTAAAACAGGGCAAAGTCAGCATGGTTTCATCAAGGGGAGGTCATGCCTGACAAATCTGCGAGAATTCTTTGAGGAAGTAACAAGCAGGGTAGACCAAGGAGAGCCAATGGATGTTATCTACCTGGAATTCAAGAAGGCCTTTGATAAAGCGCCACACAGGAGACTACTGAGTAAGATAAGGACTCATGGCGTTAGAGGCAAGGTGCTAGTATGGACGGAAGATTGGCTGTCTGACAGAAAGCAGAGAGTGGGGATAAAGGGGTCTTTCTCAGGATGGCAGCCAATGACAAGTGGTGTTCCACAGGGGTCAGTGCTAGGACTGCAACTTTTCACTTTATACATTAATGATCTAGATGAAGGAACTGTGGGCATTCTGGCTAAGTTTGCATATGATACAAAGATAGGTAGAAGGAAAGACAGTATTGAGGAGGTGGGGAGGCTGCAGAAGGATTTGGACAGGTTAGGAGAGTGGGCAAAGAAGCGGCAGATGGAGTACAACATGGGAAAGTGTGAGGTCATGCACTTTGGTAAGAAGAATAAAAACATCGACTACTTCCTAAATGGGGAGAAAATTCCGAAGTCTGAAGTGCAAAGAGACTTGGGAGTTCTAGTCCAGGATTCTCTCAAGGTAAACTTGCAAGTTGAGTCAGTAGTCAGGAAGGCAAATGCAATGTTGGTATTTATTTTGAGAGGACTTGAATATAAAAGCAGGGATGTACTACTGAGGCTTTATAAGGCCCTGGTCAGGCCACATTTAGAGTATCGTGTGCAGTTTTGGGCCCATATCTCAGGAAGGATGTACTGGACCTGGAGCGGGTCCAGAGGAGGTTCACGAGAATGGCCCCAGGAATGAAAAGCTTAACATATGAGGAACGTTTGAAGACTCTGGGACTATACTCATTGGAGTTTAGAAGGATGAGGGGGGATCTAATTGAAACTTTCAGAATACCGAATGGCCTGGTCAGCGTGGATGTTTGGAAGATGCTTCCATTGGCAGGAGAGACGAGGACCCGAAGGCACAGCCTTAGAGCAAAGGGAAGACGTTTTAGAACAGAGATAAGGAGAAACTTCTTCAGCCAGAGAGTGGTGAATCTATGGAGTTCACTGCCACAGAAGGCTGTGGAGGCCAGGTCATTGAGTACATTTAAGACTGAGATAGATAGGTTCTTGATTATCAAGGGTTATGGGAAAAAAGCAGGAGAATGGGGCTGAGGAACTTATCAGCCATGATTGAATGGCGGAGCAGACTCGATGGGCCAAATGGCCTAATTTCTGCTCCTATATCTTATGGTCTTAGGGGTCACAGTCTAAGAATATGGGGTAAGCCATTCAAGACTGAGACAAGGAAGAATTTCTTCACTCGGAGTTGTGAACCTGTGGAATTTTCTCCCACAGGAAGCCGTTGGTGACAGTTTGTTAGATATATTCAAGAGGGAGCTGGACATGGCCCTTGCGGCTAAAGGGATCAAGGGGTATGGGGAGAAAGCAGGAGTGGAGATCCTGAAATTGCATGATCAGCCATGATCATATTGAATGGTACTGCAGGGTCAAATAGCTGAATGGCCTACTCCTACACCTATTTTCCATGAATTTATAATCAATTAGGCTTCACAAATCACAGGCCTTAATACTTTTACAGTCACACAGGTATTCTTGAATGAATTATAAATATGGCAGAGTCATATAGCATAGAGGGAAGCAATTTAATCCATTCCCAGATTTAGGCACTCTGAAAGTCCCACTTTCCTGCTCATTCCCCATAAATGTTATAAAAGAAAGACTTTTCCCTTTCAAATACATATTCATTTCCTTTTCAAAACTGAATCTATTGTTACCACTTTTCAGGCTGCTCATTCCTGATCATGACAACTCAAGTGTGCAAAGAAGAGGTTTCCTCTTCCACCCCAGTACTCTGCTAATGATCTTAAACCATTGTCCTCAGATTACAGATCCTCCTGCCAATAGGAACAATTTCTCCTCACTTATATTCTGTCAGAACCCTTCATAATTTTGAACAACTTAATTAAATCTTCACTACTCCAAAGAGATCAATCCCAACATCTCCATATAATCAAAACCTCTCATCCCCTGCCAAGGCCTCATATATTCACAGTTAAATCTAAATATTTTCATAATTTTAAATAGCTTGCAATAGCCATCTGCAATTCAACATTTCAAAAATGTTAATCACATTTTTCGTTATATATAACTTGACAATTCAGATTTATACATTTGGATTTATAGCTGCACAAAATGACACAACCACACGAATTCTATTTGTATCATATATTGTACATTGCCCACGTTTTTCATGCCAATCTAATCCATTTCTAATTATATCACACACACACCAAGAGCATATGAGACAGATTTATTTATGTAACTGTGATGTGCAAGAACAAATCTACGTCTTTATTTATCACTCTGTAGTGAATTAGAAGCATGCTAATAATTTAAGTTCTCCTTTTAATTTTTAATCCTTAAAGTACTCAAGACTGAGCCAATAAAATACCAAGTCATACGAGGCTCCTTTGTACATAGTATGAACTGTCAAATATCACAACATGTTCATCTGTTGATATTACATTATGCATGGCCTGTACACTTTAAAACATGTCATTTCAAGAATTGAGAAATCTATTCCCCTATACCGGGTGTTGTGATCACCAAAGGATATGTTTATAAACACCTGAAGTGGAAACATTCACAATTTTGCCTTTGAAAAATCTGAAGTCCAAAATACAAAGAAAAATGCATCTGTTTTTCAAATACATTTTTAACTGTCAAATCCAATCGATTAAAATATCTGGTTTCACACTGAGTTGAGAAAGGGGGGCCCTTTGCTCCCAAAGTTGAGATTTTAACTTTTCCCATACTTCACTCTTGGTTTCATGTCTAAAAGGAAAAAAACACGAAATTGCTTTTATATAGCAGCTTTCATAACCTCAGGACATCTCAAAACACTTTAAAGCCAGTGAAGCACTGTCAGAGTGCAGTCCTTACTGTAATGTTGGAAAATGTACCAAACAATTTAAACACACAGCAAGTTCTCGTGAACAGCAGTGAAAACGTAACCAAAAAAAGCAGATGATGTCAAACAAGTTCACCAATTCATGACAAGTCGAGTAATTTTCAGAAAATAAGTCAAAAGTAAAATATGACAACAAGAACTACACTTCAAATGTACTTCAATAGTTCTGGAGCATTCTGGGACATCCTGAGGTCAGGAAAGGCACGTAAATTTTTAAAGACTACTCTCGTGAACTATAAAAATGCCGACAGGCTAGCACCATAAAACACTGATATGAAAACACGTCTGTTGGAGGGTTGCCATGCTGAAAGTATTCAAATGTACATTAAACAATTTGTACACCATGTTCATAATTCCAGCTCCTCGAAACAAATAGTTTTTTTTCAGCTTTGTAATAAATCCTGTCTGAAAGATAGCAGGATAGCTCCACACATCCATAATAGCCTGTTTGTCATGGAATATCTCCACATAACCTCCACTTTACCCCTCCCCCTTACAGTTAAGAATAAGCAACTGAGAATTTAATCTTTTTAAAGATACAAAAATGGAGACACAGATAAGCTAAGAATGTGCCTGATGTACACTGACCCATATGCCCAACTCAAAGAAAGTGAAAAAATATTCCAACTGCATTACCATCAGGCTGAACAGCAAAAATAAATCGAGAGGGAAAACACACACAAAAATTAAATAGCAGGATGTGGATGTGGAATTTCCTCTATTTGGGTGGGTAGAGGGGAAAGGGGAGGGGGGAGTACTAACAATAGCCAACACTGGGAGAACAAAAAAATCACACAATTTGATAACCAGCAACATTATGCAAAGTAAAAAATACTTCTCGTTTCGTTCAAGTTCAAATATTATTTAAAAAGAAAAAAAGACTTTTTCCCCCCAAAAAGAATTGGGAATCTGCCTCGAGTACAGTGTGGAGGGGAAAAAAATGTAGGAGTTAGGGAAGGAAATTTTTTTAAAGAAAAGCTGCCACATCCCAAAATTTTTTTTTGAGGTTGGTGGGGGAAACAAAGGTGGAAATGATTGGGAAAGTAACTTCGAGAGAGAGAGAGTGGCCGAGTGACAGGCAGCCTGGGGTGTTGCCTGGTTCTGTCGCGGGGGGGGGGGTGGAAGCAGGAGCTACAGCCCGCCACCCCCGATACATTGTTACAGTCAGAGGGGGAGAGGGAAGCTAAAAGTATCCACTTCTGAGTTACAGTAACTCTCCGGGACGGTCGGTGAGTGAGTGTGCGGTCCAATTAAGAGAAGGTTAAAAACACACACAAGCCGCGGCGGTCTACCTGTCCCGCGGGTCGATCCAGCTTGTCTGCCGGGTATTATGGTCGATGTAAAAGACCCTGCCGTCGAAATCGCGCGCTTCCTCCCAGCCATTGGGCAGCGGCAGCTCCCCGCTCGACCTCCTCCTCGGCATCGCTCGGTGCTCACTGCCCTAGCACATTCCCCCGAAAGAGCGGCCCCGGTGCCTGCACTGCTCCCTCCCAGAGCGGCCGCTTCCACTCTCATGGTTCTCTTCCCCCTAGCTCCACTTCCTCCATGTTGTGTCGCTGTTGACCCGGGATCGCTGCCTTATTCCTTATGGGGATGGCTATTTGCATAAAACTTTTTTTTTCCCCCCCCCACTCACTCTCTGAGGTGATTGCTTATTAATGTGTCCCAACCAACCGCAGCGAATCTCAATCTGCACTTTTCGCAAAAAAAACAAAACCCAATCCCCACACGCTGAAAGAATTGAACTCGTTTCTCTCTTCCCCCACTGTTTTCTTTTCTCTCTCTCTCTGAAGCAGAATTGTCTTTGCAAAAAAAAAAGCTGTGCCTGGAATGTGTCCTGCCTGGAAACAAACTCCCAGCTCTGATGCCAGTTGGAACAGGGAAGCTCGGAATATAGTCATCTGGAACTTTTGCTGCCTCATTTTTGTTGTTGCTGTCGTTAGAAACGAAAAGTAGCTACCGCAAGTGCTGTCTGTCGCTTTATTTGGGAGGCTTGAGAATATTGTGGCTGCAGAGCTGGTTTTCCCATTCAAGTTGACTCTCCAATGCAGTCAGTACAAATGCAGCACTGTCAGAGGAGCTGTCTCCTAATCCCTGTTTATAGGATAGAATCCGTACAGTGTGGAAGCAGGCCGTTCAGTTCATCAAGTCCACACTGACCCTCCAAAGAGCAACCCACCAAAACCCCCCCCATAAACCCTGCATTTCCCATGGCTAACCCACCTAGCCTGTACACCCCTGGGCATGATGGGACGATTTGGCATGGCCAATCCACCTAACCTGCACATCTTCAGAATGAGAGTGGAAACCCACGCAGACACGGGGAGAATGTGCAAACTCCACACAGACAGTCGCCCGAGGCTGGCATCAAACCCAGGTCCCTGGCACTGTGACACAGCAGTGCTAACCACTGAGCCATCTGTGTCCATCTCAAGTGGACAGCAAAGATTCCATGGTATCATTTAAAAGAATAATAGAGATGTTTTCCCTGGTATTCATGGACAATATTTAGTGTTAGCCTCTCACAAAACCAAAAGTGTAAAAAAAAAATAAATGACATTTATGGCATTCTCACTTGTGGGAGCTTGCTGTGCAGCTGAACCTGCTCAACCATACCCTCTGCTCCACCTTTGACATTCTTGTACTGATTAAAACCATTATATCACATCAGTACTGCCTCGTCTGTGCTCCCTTAGATTCAAGAGCACAGACTTGGGCCTCTATGGAAATCAAACAGGTTTAACCATTCATTGCCAAGTCTGACTCCACCACATAATGGTCCTTTGGGTTCTGCTCTCCTCTGCCAAAACTTCTGACCATTTCAGAGATCCTAGAATGCGAAGATAACCCAAAGCTTATAGTTGCAATATATCATCTTCTTAAACTCCTCTCCCCATCTCCTCTACCCTCATTTCCAACAGCAAGTGCAGGGTCTCATGGACTTTCATGTCACAATAATTGAGGTCATCCATGCAGCTGCTTTTGCCTCCCTTTTCGTAGCCCCCCCAGAACCAATCTTCCCCAAAAGTTCCCTCGGCCCAAGCCCTGAACTTGTATTTCCCTCTACTTTCTTTCCCACCTCCCATTATCCTCTCTTTCAGCTCATCCCATCCTCCTAATCTTATTCCCAACAAACTATCTAACTTGCTTTCCTGGCCCCCATGTTGGCTGATTTTGATAAAACGTTCCCACTCCTCAGATGCTTTCTCTCTTTCCTTTGAGTCTGCTGTAATCACTCCCCTCCTCAGAAAAAAATCACAGTCTGTCATTGCAAACTACAGTCCCACCTTTAGCCTCCCTTTCCTGTCTGAGAGCCTTGAACATGATGTCATTTGCCAATTTAGTGGACTCCATTCTTATCCATTCAATCATACCCAGATAATCAGTTGAAAAGGCTTCCCTTCCACCACCAGCCTTCCCCTCCCCCCCCAACCACTTACTGCATTCTTATCTTTGCTGTCTCCATAAATTCTAGCTCTGTCTCTCGTTTATTCCTCAGCTGCATGCTGATCCTCAATAACCTCACCCAAAAAGTTGCAGATTGGCTGACAGCACTTACCAACACCTCCTGGCCACTCCACTATCTCTGATTTTGTCACATTACTTCCAACATCCAGTACTGGGTGTGCACAAACTTCCTCCAACTATATATTGGGAAGACAAACCATTGTCTTTAGTCCTGTTATAAACTCTGTTCCCGAGTCACTATTTCCATCCATCTCTCTGGCAACTACCTGCTGCTAAAGCAAACCCTTCATAACCTTAGAGTCTTATTTGAGCCCAAGATGAACTTTCAACTATGTATCTGCTCCATGTGTAAGAGCACTTAGTTCAAAGATCTCAGCATTGCCTGACTCCACCTGCGATCTGCTGAAACCCAAGGCTTTGTTCCCTCTAGGTAGGAGTAATCCAATGCTCTTCGAGCCCAGGCTTTCATCATGCACTCTGTATGAGCGTGAATTCACCAAAAGGAGCTGCTGCCTATCTAATAACTGGTGCCAGGACCATCAATCCCTGTGCTCAATGACCTCCACTGAGCCCTGCTTCAGTAACAACATCATTTCAAAATTCTGATCCGTGACTTAAAATTCATCTGTGATATATTAGCTGCCCTCCCCCTCCTCCAGCATGCACGCACCACGCACATGCATGCACACTCACACACACACACAATCTCTGTAACCTACCCCTGCTCTACAACCCTCTGAGAACTCTATGGGCAGTCAACTCTATTCTCATGCACATCAGGATTACCGGGAAAATGCAGGACAGTGGACGTGAGGAATGTTGGCTCAGCCGTGATCCTAGGGGCTGAATGGCCTACTCCAGTTCCTATTTCTTATGGTCTTACCCCTGATTTTAATCGCTGCGTGATCAGTAGGAATGCTTTCAACTATCTAGGCCATAAGTTCCTCACCATTTCCATTTTTCCACCAAACATTCTTCCTTTATGATGTTCTTTAAAATCCACCTCACTTTTGGTTATCTGTCCTACTACCTGCTTATGTATAGCAGGGTCAAATTTCGTTTGATGATGCTCCCTAAGGACATTTTACATTAAAGTTGGGATCATGGAGAAACTGCCATTATATTAAGGTGCCTCCATCCAGAGTCTATGCAATGTCCCTTCTGAGGAAGTTACTTATTTTCTTTTAAATTAATGTGATGTAGACAATGCTGGCTAGGACATTGTCCATCCCTAACTGCCCTTGAAAAGGTGATGGTGAACTGCTTTACTGAAAAGCTGTTGACCTTGTGGTGTAGATACAAATTACCTCAGCTTCATCTACTAATTTAATTATTTTAGAAACCGATACCATGTGCTTTTCTCAGTCTTTTTCCAACATTATATAATGTAGACCCAAAAGCCTGTTATCAAACTGATTAATGTGAACCTTCATATCCATTTGTGTTTGAAAATCATCACACAATTGATCAAAATCTCTGAGAATAATCAATCTTTTTTATGATCAATACTAAATTATTCGTGTCATCAGCAAATTTAATATTATTATACCTACTCTGTGAGTCACCACTTGTTACATTTTCCTAAGCAGTTTACTTCACAAAAACCTAGCATCCAATTTCATTGGGTAATAGGGAAGGCAAATGGAAAGTTGGCCTTTATTTCAAAGGGAATGGAGTATAAAAGTAGGGAGGTTTTGCTAAAACTATACAAGGCACTCGACAGACCACAGGTGGAACACTGAACCGTTTGTCTAAGGAAAGATATACTGGCATTGGAGGCAGTCGAGAGAAGGTTCAGTAGGCTGATACCAGTACAGAGGGACTATCTTACAAAGAGAGATTGAGTAGGTTGGGCTTGCACTCATTGGAGTTTAGAAGAGTGAGATGTGACCTACTTGAAACATATAACATTCTTTAACAGATTCAGCATGAAGATGTTGTTATGCCCTTGTGGGAGAGGCTAATTGTAGAGGCCATAATCTCATGATAAGGGGTCACCCTTTTAAGACAGAGATGAGGGGAAATTTTCTTCTCTCAAGAGGATATGAATCTGTGGAATTCTTTACCGGGGGTGTGCTGTTGAGGCTGGGTCATTAAGTACATTCAAGGCTAAGATAGGCAAATTTTTAATCATTAAGGGAATCAAGGGTTATGGGGAAAAGGCAGGAAAGTGGAGTTGGGGATTATCAGATCAGCCATGATTTCACTGGCAGAACAGACTCAATTGGCTGATTGGCCTACTTCTGCTTTTACATACTATGGATCTTACTTCCCATTTATAATTGCCTGGCTTTTGTCATTAAACCAATTCTCAGACCACCTAGAGAACATGTGGACCATTCCATTAGCCATTCCTAATGGGCTCGCATGAAGAGTTGTGTTGGACAAGTTTTGATGATCCCAGTCAACTACATTATCTTCATTATGTCCTGAAGATTACAACAGATTTCTAAGGCATTTCAGTTCTGAAGAACAGCCATATCAGACATGAAATGTTACTTCTGTTTCTCTTGTGTTTCTCCAGCACTTTCTATTTTTATTTCAGATTTCCAGCAGCTGCAGCAGTATGCTTTCAATGGACAGAGTTTTTTTTTGGTAGGCAAGGTGATAGGTAGCTAAGGTACAGATCAAGCACGACCTAGTTGCATTGTGGAACATGCTCAAGGGGCTCAAAGATGTACTCCTGTTCGTAGATTTCATTAAGTGAGAGCTGCTCTCAGAATGCTGTGTACCCTGCAATTACCAGTTGCACTTGCCTTTGTGAAACTGACCGTTCAATCACTGTCCTCAATTGAATGCTGGAAATGTTCAGCAGATGGCAGCACCCAAGAAAAAGCAAAGAAGTTAACAGGCAGAATTTCTCCAGTCCTTTGCAGTTGGGCTTTGGGTTGAGCAAGGTCAAAAAAAGTTCTGGAAATTTGAGATCCATTTGGGATTGATTCGGGATCCCACCTTTTCCAGCCTCTGCAGGAGCAGGATTAAAGATGAGCAGGAACACCTCAGACCTGTTAGGTAAATAATTAAGAAGTGGGTGTAGGTAAGTAGCCAATTACGAAACTGGTCAGGGGAGCAATAGCATAATCTTGCTGAATCATTAATCCAAGGATTTATGCTAATGCTTCAGAGTCACAAGTTCAAATCCAACCACAGCCATCAGTGAAATCAAGTTCAACCATCTCATGAATGTGGATGTTGATATAATTAATAAGAATCATGAATTGATTGGATTGTTATAAAAAGCAATCTGGTTTTCTCTATTGACTCCAAGTCCACAACAGTGTGGTTGACTGGTGACTGCTCTCTACTATTGGGGAGGTGATGCTGATTGTTAATCCAGAGACCCAGCTAATGTTCTGTGAATGGTGAAATTTGACTTTAAAAAGAACCTGGAATTAAGAGTCTAATGATGACCATGAATCCATTGTTGATTGTTGGAAAAACCC